TGGCTTCTTAGTTAGGCCAAGACCTTTTTCAGTAATACTTCACATAAAACCAAAAATATTCTTATATATACATATAAAATTGAAAATCTGTGAAATTAGACAAGCAGAAAGTGTGAATACAAAAATGTAATTCTAGCAATTTGTGTAAACCTAAGTGTGCTCTAAACTACTCAGCCACAAAAGACTTTACAGCAAAGACTTTGTGGTTGGGCGGTTTATCATATATTGCATACGCTCTGTACTTTTTATCCATAAATATAGCATCCATTAAAAAACTCCTTTTTATCATTTTTTATATATATATATATATATATATATATATATAGGAGGCATGGTGGAGTAATGGATAGCGGCTTGGATTGAGGAATCGCAGAGCAGAGTTCGAATTCCAGTCAAATCCATTACATTAACTTACGTGCTAATACCCTTGGGAAAGGTATGAATCCTCTTCCTCTCCCTCCAGCTATGGGTAAAATAGCAGGACAGACTAGGTTCTATAGCCTTGGATGGCAACTGGTCTAGGAGAAGGACAACTCTGAATTCAAAACCTGCGGAGGGTCATTTGGGAACCTTGTGGCACTCGGTGCACCAGGTCTCTGTAATTGTCCCTTCAAAAAGTGTGGATGGTCCTGCACGAGGCCTTCACCACCATAATCAAATCTCATGTGCCGGTGTCGGGCTGTCAGTTTTCTGGAAACTGTTCTGCTCGACCCTCATATGTCGAATCTCGACGGGAGAGTCGATTATTATTATTATTATTATTATATATATATATAGATACACACTGGGTGTAACAGCAAAATTGTGCAAATCATGCAACAGCATGGGATAATTGTTCATTTCTCAAAATGTTTAATATCTAAAAAACTACTAAACTAATTGAGTTCTTTTTTCCAGTTTTTCAGATAAGAGGTTTAGCCATCTTGACATCATTTGTCAAAAAATCCTTTAAGTTATTCAGTTAGAAAAAGAACAGGATACAATCATTTTTGTGTCAGCTCCACTATGTCTTCCCAACTGAGCAATGGTGAGATGAAAAAGATCATTCAGGCCTTCAGTAATGGTACCAACATTCTTACTCTGGCTTCCATCTTAAAAGTACATTCAAGAACCATCACAAGAACAGTGAATATGTTTAAAAAAGAGGGAACAGTAGTTAGGAAAACTGGACCAGGAGGTCACAACAGGAAGAGGGATCATCATTCCAACTTAGAGCTAAATACATTCTTATTGTTCAAAGTAGAACATATATATATATATATATATATATATATATATATAACAGAGGATGTCTGTGTCTGTTTGCATGATACCTTTTCACTTGAGATTCATCCAACCAGTTTTGACCAAACTTGGCACATACATTTTACAATGTAAGAGATAGGTTCTTAGCATAAAAAATTGATAATTTTTAAAAAATCAATAATTGATAAAGCCGATCAAAAATTGATAAATTCAATTTTTTTCCTCTGATTTCGTTCAAACTCAGTATGTTGGTTACTTACATCATGATGAGCTCAACGACACCTCATTTTTATTTCTATGCCACTGTGTTTAGTGAAAAATAAAAAATCAATTTCAACACAAATTTTAAACTAAAAACTCTCTCAATTTTCAAACAATCTACTACAAACTTCACTCAATTGTAGCCAACAATAAGTTGATTGTTTAGCAGTCATTTAACTTGATAAATAAGTCCACCTATATAGTGAAAACCCATGTAAATAGGGAAAATGGTGATTTTTACTGGTTTCTTACTTTTCATTGATCTTTCAACCAATTTTCATCAAACTTAACAATTACTTTATAAATGTATCCTCTTTTACATCCATGGTAGCACACTGACAAACTGAATTTCAAAAACTCCAAAATAATTGTTGCCTGAAGTGGGTCTTCATATTGCATGTTTTACCTCTTCATGTTCCCAGTTAACTTTGACTGAATAAATACAAACTACTTCTGTTATATCAGTAACTGCATTAATTCAAAATGTTTTTTTTAATGAAGGTACTTTAAAGTAATTGAAGACACACTCTGTTACATCTAATCATGATGCTGTTTTTGCTCCATTCTAATTGAACACTTTTTCTGATTGGTCAGCTGGGTATGGCTGTTATATATATATATATATATATATATATACACAAAGGGATGCTGAAAAGTTCTCAGCACAACCTACTTCTAAAAATCCAACAAAACATCAGAACTTTTTTGAGGGTTTCTTAGGTGGGCCATGAACCTTTCACCAATATTTCACATAAAACCAAACAAACATATTCCTATACATGCATATAAAATTCAAAATCATTCAGGAAGTGTGAACACAAACATGTCATTTTAACAACTTGTGTAACCCTAATATTTTTTTAAACAATCAGGTTGATGTCTTTATTAACACTTGTCATCAAACAACTATAAAAGTCACTTTCACTTCACCATTGATGGCAGTGGCGTGTCAGTTGGTCATTTTTCAGTTGTTAACTAAATTTAGAGATTAGAATGTATAAACAAGCAAAATCTGTTTTCAAAAGAATTATGGGTCAATGACTGGTAGGGTCAGAGTTATTTTGACATCAAATCAGTCTTACAGATTATTATCCGTTTTCCTCATTTTTTCATTGCTTTTTATCGCAACGTTCTCAGCTGACTCACACTTGAATTTAATGGTTATTCAGCCATGGAATTTAAATAAAGTTTTCGATCAGAAGTAATCTTGCAACCTTCTCACCTCTTGGTTCCACCTTTTTATACATATAAGGTATGACCAGAAAGTATCAAGGCTATTGCTATAGTAACAGAGCTAAAGTACACAAAGTAAAGCCACTTAGCACAGACTGACTTTGAACCCTGTCATGTATAAACACTAAGTTATAATGTTCTCACTCACTTTCACTGTTTATAGCAGTGCTTTGAAGGAAAGTGTGCAGAGTGTTGTTGTCTCATCACATCACAGAGTTTCCACCAGTGACCATGGGTTCTGCGGGATTTTGCCAAGTAAAAGATTCCCCAAATTCCACAACTACCATATCCGTAGATTCTCACCCTTTGCAACTTTTTGCTTTTTTTTAAAATCAAATCTCACTTGAAAGGGACAGGATTTCAAGACATCAACACAATCCAAGAGAATGCAATGAAGCAGCTGTTTACAATCCTGAAGAAGGAGCTCCAGGAATGCTTCCATCAGTGGAAACAACACAGGATAAAATGCATGGCCTCAGAAGAGGACTATTTCAAAGGAGATTAAATGCAGAATTGATATATGTTGTAGTTTTCTTTTTATAGGACCTGTCCCAATACTTTTTGATCAGACCTCATAAGAGGGAATTACTGAAAGAAATGACAAGAGAAAAGCATTTTCTGCCAATGTCTTATTTCTTCAGGAACTTTTTGAAAGGAAGTGTAGAAATTTTATTTAGTAACCTATTAAGCATTTCGCCTTAAATACAGTGGTACTCTTGAATGTTAGAGATTTCTAAAACAAGCAGCCAGACATTATACATAGAGGGTAAAAAATTATGGATTAATGTTCTGCATGATAGTATTTGGCATTTGCATGATCATATGTATGTAAAAACAGAAGTCTATGTTTATGCCCAAAGAGGATAGAGAAGGTATTAAGACTGACTCTGTGAACTGCTGATACACAGCTTATTTTAGAACCTGTGCATGTAGTGATTTACATGGATAATCATTGTGTGTGATCACTCTATATGAATTATGTTTAATCTTAAGTCAATTGAAATACATATTCTGGGAGATGTAATTTTACTTTCAATCCATGTAGAATAAACCAAGGGTCTGCCTTATGTCTAAAATAGCAGCACATTTCTCACCAGCATCAGTTGATGGTGTCTATTCCCAGGTAAAATTCAGGATTTCAAATTTTGATTTTCAAGGCAAGCATAATACTTCATGATGATTTTCTTATGTTGACCTTTTTTTAAACTTTAATAAACGTGAATAAAACAAAAAGCCAGAAAAAAATCTTTTATGCCAGTGTGTTTCATTCCTTATGGAATTTTAACAAGTGTAGAAATTTTATTTTCTAACCTGTATTTATATATAGAAGTAATGTGGACAAAGATAACGTTAAGCATTTAAGATGCTATATGATGTAAGTTTTTGGCATATTAACCTTTAGCATTCTGCATTATTCATATTTCATTTACATAGGATTCTTTTTCAAGGCCTCCCAATTGCAATATCCTTATTGTTAATTTCACTCAAAGTTGTTTTCTGTTGCCATAGCAGAATATGACAACACAACTATGAAATTCAAATACACTATTGATTAGGGATCAGATTGACCTTCAGTGACAGGATAATCTTTTTGTACTGCAAATAAAGTCACAAAGTAATAATGGTTAAACGAAAGTGAATTAATATTTTTGATGATTTTGTTATGTAATTATTATTTTATTTATTTATTTTTAAAAAGTTGTAAGTTTTTAATGTTAAAAATTTTTTATGGTCTATGTTGTCTTGTTTTTTATACATACAAGTGAATCCATCAATAAAACCATTATTAGTCTAAAGAAGTTCCTTCTAGAAATGAAACTTATCACTAGAGTTTTTTTCCCCATTTTGTCAATCATAAATGCACACACCTATATAGATAAAAATATATTAAAAATCTTTCTTTATTATCATACCCACTGACAAGTTGATATCATATCTGCAAAACTCTTCAATCAGGATGTTGTGGAGTTATTTCGAAGTAGAGGCTTGTATTTGTACTAAATCAGTCCTAAATAGGTTCGATGTACAAAACGTTAGGAACTTGATATAATAGGCATTACGCAGAGTAATCTTGTTGTGGTGGCTGACTACTTTTGTATTCAACTAATGTCGTCTGACATCAACTGACCCTCATTTCTCTTACTACTCTTACTTATATCAGGTGGGAGAGTCTATTAACTATAGAATAGGTGTGTTTCATCATAACACAGGAAGATCTGTTTGAACATTCAGTTTTATTTATATTTATCAAGCTTATGGCAACATCACTGGTTCCTGTATGATCACCGAAGTTAAGCAACATGGAACCTGGTCAGTATCTAGATGGGTGACTGCTTGGGAACACCAGGTGCTGTAAGGTTGGATTTGCAAGTAGTGTAATGGAATACAGCTTAGATTTGTTAATTTGAGAGCCGAGTTCCAATTCCTGTTAGTTTCATTATATTCACTTATGCACAAATAGGCTTGGGAAAGTGTTATAACTCACTCCTGGTGGTTATAATATTATGCCTCACTTAGGCTATTCACCATGACATCATTAGAAATTCTCCTTCTACTGACTCACTTTTCGTTCTTTATTTCAGGTGTCTTTCATAGTTCATTTGTGTTACCAGGAGTATCTTATTTATTCCACAACAACCACTCTTTTGAGATTTCTTTTTTTATTAGTAAATATTTTATTTTATTTCTTAGTATTCACTCCTCCACTTTCTGGTGAGTTTGCCATGTACTGAACTTTGTATTTCTTTTGTTTTGGATTTACTTTTTCCATACATTTCTTTCATACTCATTTTTATATGTTCAATGAATTCTTGGGGTGTTGGTACATCAAAAATATCAAACAGTACTTGCATAGGTTCTTTCTTTTTTGCAGGCCTTTCTTAAGTAAATCTTTTCTTTAACTCATTTCACTGCCTTTTGTGCTCCATTTTTTCCTTTCACCATATATGTCATTTTTCCAATTCATGACCTTATTACGCCTTCTTTCCACATTTCTTTTGCATTTTATATACTCTGAAAAACACTTCTTCACCAATTTTGAAAAATTTTGTATCCTTTTAGTTATCAGTTCTTATTCTTTTTTGACCTGGTAACAACTTGTTGAACACCAATTTTTCTTGTGAACATCAATTTTGCCGGTGACATGCTTTCTGGTGTATTTGGCTTCAGCATTATTTGGTATACTCTCAAGAATTGTCATAGTACTTCTTTGCTCACTTTTTCATCACTTGCTTTTTAAAAAGCTCTCTTAAAAGTACACATAAACTGTTCAGCTTATCTATTTGACCTTAGGTGATATGGCAGGGTAGTAATATGTTCAATCGAGAACATTTTTACAAAATTATTTAAATTCATAAGTGGTACACAATGTACTGTTATCTAAGACTATGACATCCAGAATGTCATATCTTGCAAACAGTTCATGTAAAAAATTCACTGTAACCGTAGAAGTTGGTTTTTTGCACTTACAAATTTCAGGCCTCTTAGTAAAGCTATCCACTACCACAAGATAATGTGATCTGTTTATTGGATCTTCAAAATCTATGTACAGTCTTGACCTCAGAGTATATGTCTTTGGCCAAGGTCATAATTTTGTGGTAGGTGATTTAGCTGCCAGAGCACAACCTCTGAAGGCTCTTACTAATTTTTCAATGTCCTGATCCAGTATAGATAGCTTCTCATAAGAGATTTCATCCTTGAAATTCCCGGATGTCCACTATGAAATTCATTTAATATCCACTTTTGTTATATGACTACTCTTTGTGCAAACATCAGTAGTCCATCACATAGTGAGTAAGCGTTCAAATTTGGATTGTGTTCTAAAAATCATCTATCTTTCTTACTTTCTTTTAATCATTTTTTTTTATTTTCAAAATAAATATGCCTTGTTCTGCTTTGCTTTTCTTCAAGGGTAACTGGTAGTTTGCGTACTACATTGCATAATATAATTTTAATTTCTATTTCACATTTAATACTGCAATAACAGTGTCCTCATACAGTTCAGTACTTTTTAGTATCAATCAGCATGTCATAATTTTTTGGATGGTTTGTATTCCATCTTGAAATTGTAATTTAATAAGATTAATAAGATGCTGTATGCATAGGAATTCCTTTTTTTGAACCATAAATTGATAATAGAGGTCAGTGGTCCGTCTGAAAATGAAAACTCCCTATGTATGAATTTGTGAAATTTTTTCACTGTAAATATTATTGCTAATGCCTCTTTTTCAATCAGGATGTAGTTTTTTTTCTCCCAGTAGTCGCAAACACAAAGCATATATGACGGATTTCATGTTACCGTCATCATATTTATGTAGAATTACTCCTATACCATAGTCACAAGCATCTGAAGCCAATACAATTTCTGCTTTTGAATCTTAGCACATTAATGATAAATTTAATGTTAGTATTTTCTTGATTTCTTCAAGACACTTCTGACACTTATCAGTCCAGTTCCACTTTATTCCTTTTCTAAGCAAGCTGTTCAGTGGAGCTCTCAAATTCTGTCTATTAGTTATATAGATTTGATGATAGTTTACTAATTGTAGAAATGCTTATAACCGATTAACATTTGTTGGAAGAGGCATACTTACTCTCAGTGAATCAATCTTGTTGACAATCATTTTTGTCAATGAATTGTCTTAGGTATTTTGATTTTAGGCAAAAACAATTCGCACTTTTCCTCACTGAGTTTTAATCCATATTCTCATATCTTTCAAAAAACTGTTTTTTTACATGCCCAATATATTCTTCCTTAGATACACTTTTAATTAATATATCATCCAGATAAGGAACTGTGAAATCACAATCTGCAAATATAGTATTCATAGCTTGTTGAAATATAGCTGGAGGCACTTTTATCCTAAAAGGAAGTCAATTAAACTTATACAATCCCTTGTGCATATTCATAGTTATTAACTCTGAACATTCTTCAACCTGTATTTGCAAATATGCTTCAGAAAAATCACAATGTGCAAATATAGTACTCATAACTTGTTGAAATATAGCTGGAGGCACTTTTATCCCAAAAGGAAGTCAATTAAACTTATACAATCCCTTGTGCATATTCATAGTTATTAACTCTGAACATTCTTCTTCAACCTGTATTTGCAAATATGCTTCAGAAAAACCCAGTTTTGAAAAAGATTTTCTACTGTTTAAATTAAAAAATTTCCTCTGGACTTGGTAATGGGTATAAAATATTGGTTAGCTTTCAAGTGGTCTCACACACAAGTAGACTGGTGTAATCACACGTTAAAGCTGACCTGAGTCATTTAATGGAGAGATATATGGGTGAATAGAGACCACTCATGCAAATATGTTGGGTAGGTCTATTCTAGCAAAATGGACCAACCTAACTGGTGTATTAGGTACTCTCCTATAAATGAGGTAAAATTAGCTGGCTTGCTTTTCCAATAAGACACATGAAGGCAGCCATATTAGCAGGTAAGTCACTTGACTTCTACATCTCCCTCCTCTCCCCATTACAGAAGCATATTGGCCATTGGGGAGGAATCAGTTCCTTATTGCCTGGCTGATTGTATAGGAGTAGTTGGGATAGCACCCTGGGAATCCTGGTTTGTGATGGCGGTGATTGAGCAGAGCCCTGGGATGCCACCATTTCCCGATTCTTTGGTAGATTGATGTGGTCTACACATATTTGTAATCGTCGAGTCAGGGGACACAGGCAAGGCACTTGGTATGGGGGTGTTGATTATGGGTGCTTTAAGTTTCCTTAGGAACCTACGGTTCCGCAAGGTTATTCTGCCTGACCCTGCAACTCTAATCCTATATTAACGGTTGGGAAGCGTCTCTACTATTCACCCAGCTATGTCCCATCGATGGCTATTTGGGTTTTGAATGGAGACTGTGTCGCCCTTACGAAGTGGGAATAGGGCATGTACAGTACAATTGTACCTCCCGATGAGGCCTGCATTGTGTTTGGATAATGTCTTATGTTTTGGGGCTGTGGCTATGCACTCAGGGTGTGGTTTATATAAGTATGGGTGCGATGGGATAAAATCCCGAAGACGTCTATCAAGCAGGAGTTGCACTGGTGATAAACCAATGCCTTGGATAGGGGGTGTTTTTATATTGCAGGATTGCTTGTGTTGCCATGTCATTGTCCAAGGAACCCTGGTGTCCTGTGCAGTCTTTTATGTTTTTTGTTTTTTTTGCAGTCTTGACTGCTAATTCTGCTCGTCCTTTAGACTGGGGATAGGCCACTGATGAAATTCTTTGTTTAACAGCCCAGGTTTTTAGGAACTATTGGAATGAGTAAGCTGAGAGAAGGGCAGCCACAGTCTGTACTAAGTTCCTCAGGTGAACCATATGTTTGGAATATTTCTCTACAGATGGATATCAACCTGGAGGCAACTGCTTGCCTTGGCTTGATGCGGTACAGAATGAGCCATCCAGTGAGCCTGTCTGCACAAGCAAGATACAGGAAGGACCCAACATAGAACAAATCCATCACAATTTATTTAAAAAGGCCATTCTGGTGTAGGTGTCATGTGGATTGGTTCATGTGGTAGTCTTAGGACATTTCTTGAACATGTAATGCAATTATCCTTGTAATTGCGAATTGAGGCATTCATTCCAGGCCAGTAGACTGACTCATTGGCATGCACTTTCATGCCAACTACTCCTTGATGAGTCAAATGTAGGCACTTTAATATGTTTTTGTGCTGGAAGGTTGGTATTACTACCCTCCTGTCCAGTACAACCTTCCCGGTATTCCCGGATTGTAGGCAGCGTTGCTTGACACCTGTTTGGAAAACTGTTGTCTATGGTCTTGCCTAATAAGGTGTATTGTGTGTCTTTTTGACCAGCAAAATGAATGTGGTCAGGGGAAGTTATGGAAGGGTTATTATCTAATTGGGATATGGATGTGAGGGCTGTCAATCTCATTACTGCACAAGTCTCATCCGATTCATCAATGTCTATAGGGGAGGGTTCTATGGGGAATGTACCAAGTAGGCTTTGTACTGTAGTGACTGGATTGTGCGAAATAGCATCAGAGGCCCTATGCCATTTTCCAGGGCAGTGTTCCATGGTGAAATGATATCTCAAGCTTTTTGAGTTGGAATAGGCATGGGTTGTAAATTTTGCTGAGATCTTGATCACCAAAATTTTCTTTTTTGTGGCTCATGGTCAGTCACGACTATAACATTTGGGCAACCTAGTATGAACATGCGGCACTTTTCAAGTGCCCAGCTGATAGCTTCTGCTTCACGTTCTATGGGTGCATATCTTTGTTCAGCATCAGTACAGAACCTGTTTCTTGCAAACACAAGGTGCCAGCCTTCAGGACAACAGACTGGGTCTCTTTTGATTGTAAATGTGCAGTGCTTTTTC